CCCCCAGTCTGTACTGATGGTGAGGATTGTTCCGGCCCAGGTGCAGAACCTTGCATTTGCTCTTGTTGAACCTCATGAGGTTCACCTGGGCCCACCTCTCCAGCCTGTCCAGGTCCTTTTGGATGACATCCCGTCCCTCTGGTGTATCGACAACACCACGCAGCTTGGTATCATCCGCAAACTTGCTGATGGTGCCTTTAATCTCCCTGTCTATATCATTGATAAAAATGTTAAACAGCACCGGTCCCAGCACGGACCCTTGAGGAACACCACTTGTGACTGGTCTCCATCTGGACTTTGAGCCGTTGAGTACCACCCTCTGGATGCGACCATCTAGCCAGTTCCTTATCCACTGAACAGTCCACCCATCAAATCCGTACCCCTCCAATTTGGCAATCAGGATGTTGTGGGGGACCGTGTCAAAGGCCTTACAGAAATCCAGATAGATCACATCCATAGGTTGCCCCTTGTCTACTGACTTAGTCCATCATGTATGACTCCACTGGCAGTTTTAAGGAGGTTTTCCTGGATCTAGTCTTCAGGACTTCTCAGGGAGGTTTTCCACTGCTCTTGCCTTAATTCAGCCTCATAAAGCCTTCCGTTGCTGTCCTCTCTCATCTGTCCACATGAAGGAGGCAGGTGAAACAGCAAATTTCAGCCAAACATCTAGGAACATGACAGTACCGAGGGAGACTGGACCCTGCCTGCAAAGAAACAAATGTTTATGTGGTTGAATTTTAGCTTATTTTCCCTACAATTCTTGGGAATTGTTTTGAATATTAAGAAGTTGCTGTTTAGTCGCTCTCAGATCAGTTACTAAAAATGGATGTAAAAAAGTATGTGTGCTTGGAAATCTCTTCCCCCAACCCCGTGCTTCCATATCTGTTTCCAGGAATTGAACAACTCATAGGGATTAAAACTGTCTTGGATAGCAAGAGACTCCTCTCCTTCTTAATGTTAGGAATAGTGATTCTTCTAATTCTTTTGTTAAATTCAAACCACTTACATCTGTTTCATTGAGAGTAGAGGGTACACCAGAAAACCTTTTGTTTGACTTACAGGTATGGTCTGTAGCTACCTCACTGTATAAAACTGTCTGTATTACTAGGAAAAGTCATCCAGGAACTCACATAAACAGACTAACTCCCCTTCTACAGCAAAGTCTTAGAATGCACAAAAGCTCAATACTTAAATAAGCGAATTTCCAGCTGGATGAGGTGCATTTATTTACACCTACCTGCCTTCACTGAAGACAGCACTACAGGTTTGAGAAGTAAAAGATAGGTAAAAGTGCAGTGTATTTCCCCAGAGTAATTTCTGCACAACTGACTCTGCCATTCAGACAGGTGGTTGTTACAACAGGGCTGTTCTAACACTGTTTTCTACAGGGAGTCTTACTGCATTTGAAACATCTAACACATGCAAGCAAAAGTTTGCTGGGCTCCTTATCTAGTCAATGAGGACTAATTGTGCCCATAAAGTAGTAGTGAAGATCCCTATCAGTGACGAAGAGTAAATAGATGATTGCTTGTCAGTTACCAAGAGTGGAATCTATGTGTACAATAGATTAAGGTAAAAATAAGTGCAATTTCTGTGGTTATAACGGATGCTTACACTGACTGTTGAGATTCCACAACTTGCCTGCCTTTCCTGCTTCTGTAGAATTTTCTTCTGAAGTCTTCTATGGTGAAAATACTGAAGAATGTTTGAGGCTCTTTTGTCCTTCATGTACTGGTGTAGGGATGGAGAGGTAGTAAAGACTAATAGGCTACGTTTGGCACAGCAAAAATTGAGTTTTCAAACAACCTCCTAATTACAGTTACTATAAGTCAGAAGAAAATCCCTCTATTTCCACATATTCAAAGGATTAGGAAGGTAGTAATAAATATCGTATTCTGTATTTGATAGGTCCTTCTGGACAAGCTGAACTTGCCAAATGCCAAATTATACTGTTAATATTATTATGAAGGTTTTGAAAATATTAAAGTGAGTACTGCTGATGCACATAATATTAGTGAATAAGTGTGCGCATTATGGTAGGGGAGAAGAGCTGTCCACTAATGTTTTTCTACTAATGTGTTGTTTTTTGGTTTTTTTTATCTTTAAGAATGAAACCAAGAAAAATTAAAGAAGATGATGCTCCGCGAACGATAGCTTGTCCTCACAAAGTAAGTGAAGTGCTCAGCTTCTGACTAAATAGTAATCTGTAGACCAGAATTTTGTATTGATGTTTTCTCTTCAGAATGAATAACTAAAATATCTTACTGTTAATAGACTACATTCAGTTAACTGTATTTTAGTTATTATTCTTTAGAGGCTTCCTTAAAAACCTTTCATTGAATAATATATTATTCCCCTTCCTTGTCTTAAGGTTAGTGCATCCCTAATCTTCTGGTAACCATGATGCACAGTCCCTAACATGCTGGTTTTACTGTTGTGATTTCCTGCCACCCAAGAATACATACTTGAAAGAATGTTCTGAGAGCTGTTCAAAGTACGTTCCTAAGATCTATATATCCTCTGCTTGGAAACTATGACAGATTTGGAGTCTAGATCAGGAATCAGCAATTTATGGTGCAGATGCCAAAGTCAGCATTATTGGAAGACTCTGAATTGCATTCCACAGAGCTGGAAGATGCATCATCTTGAAAGAGAGAGAGGCATCTTGGAGATGTGATTCTGATCCACTGATAGTGGGGAAGCCTCTGTCTTGAATAAATGTTGCCAGTCACCTAAACTGGTAGCATCTGGCTTTACTGCATTATCCAGCTTTTGTAGAGCTTCTCTTACCTGACTTAGTCTCTAATGAAAAAAGACAAATGCAATCTTGCTGGCTTCTGGTCTAGATGAGTGTGAGCCTAAGCAAATAATCAGGGCAGATGGCTAATAGTACATGAGTAGAAGGCTTCTTTCTGACAGCCATAGTCTAAGGAGTTTGCTGGATTCATTCCTCTGTGCTTTTATTGATTTCCAGTTCTTCACGTTCTACATGTTTTTATTGTAGTATAGTATGTGGAGATACAGATACAGTTACTCCTTACGGTACCAAGGAATGCTGCCTTCATTTCTTTGATTTACTTTTTCATAGCCTCAACTTCATCTGAACAGGGGAAAAAAAGAATATTCTGTCCTTCCATTTTCTCTTTTCTAGTGTTTCTAGGCTTTGTGTATTTATGACTTCAGTTTAGAAAACAAGAATACAGTGATGTTGGTAGACTAGTTCTATATAAGTTAAAACAGCATCACTTGGAGTACAGATACAATTTACAGCTGTTAATAGGATTTTATGAGGGATTTTGAACCTTGAGGAAGACATATCTAAAACATATGATAGATGACTATTGATTGTCACTAAAAGAAAAAAAAAAGGTATAGAAAGGTTAGGTAGAGAGAGCCCCAGGTCTCTGCTGGCTTAAGTGCGCTCTGGTATCAAAGTAGTATTCCTGTGTCACTGCAGCATGGATCCCAGATTAAGATTTATGATGCTGTACCTCAGTTAAAGTGAGTATATTTTGCTTTTAGGTTGAGTTGGCACTAACTCAGAGATTCTCCTAGTTTACTTAGTATCACTTTGTAGGTTTAAACTGCAGAAGCAGTGGCAATCTCTTTATATGTCAAAGTGGTAGCGATCGGTCTGCCGCTGCCGGTTTGGACAAGGTAGTCTCTGTAAGCTGTTACGTGCTGGAAACCCTTTTGCTCCATTTCTTCTCAGGAATGAGAAGGAAGAGGGCAGAATGTTGGGAAATGGAGTGGTGCACATACAAATTGGTACTAATAATCTGTGGTATGTTAGAGGACATATCATACATTGTAGTATTCAGAATATAGTACGCTGAAGAGTATACCATACGTATCCATGAATTACCATTCTGTCTTTTGGTTTGGTTTTTTCCCCTGAAACTGTAAGTGCTTTTGTTTGGTTTATTCATTTGCTTCTATCAGAGCCGCATCTTTTCCACAATACTGTCTGTTGTTCATAATACTAAGTGAGGAGAGGATTTGGGGGGTTTTTTGTTTGGGATTGGTTTTTTTTGGGGGGGG